AGCCGTACGGCGGGGTTAGTCGCACCCTGCCTGTGGCCAGGACAACGAGCCTCCCTGTTAAAAACCCACTAGCGTCCATGTAGGGAGAAAAAGGAGTGCCTAACGCCCAGTGCCCAAGGGAAGTCCCTCAGAAAGGCTGATTTACAAAGAACCAACTTGCCCTTTTCCTTAAGCCTTGCTCTTACGAAGCTGGAGCAGAGATGCCCCCCACTTACGCTGGAGGAAGGGTAGGAAACTAAGCAAACCCGTTGGAGACAATGACCTCTGAGCTAATGGGGGAACACATGGAGCAGCACAAAACATTTCCTGCTCCCTCATGACCCTTTTGATTTGAGAAGCTCTCTTTTTTTCCCATGAAACTGCTTTCAAGCAGTTATGTTTTAAAGCAGTCCCTAGTGATGTTTGAATCCTGTGGAATGTGAGGTGGGTGAATGATGAAGCAAAGGATGGTGGTGGCTCTTCAGTTTGCTCGCTCCAGCCTCTGGAGCAAGCTGTTCTGCTCTGGCTCAGGGTGCCTGGTGTCCGAGTGCTGAGCCAGGCCCCGAGATGTCTCTTCCCTTTGCTCCCTGCCAGCTCTTGCCTGCAGAACCTGAGCTGTTGATGCTTCCAGTCGTGTGCATGGATGGAGACTGTCACCTCTCCTGGGGCAGCCGGAGAAGGACAGCTGTCGTCACTTCAGCTCTGGGTCTGTCAGAGGCCAGGACTAGGCTCTCCTTTATCTTCCTGTCAAGCTCGCCACCCCTAATATACCGTTAAACTTAACATGTTTGCTTTCCTCCTGCGCAGATCATGTTTTGCACTTTGAACACTCACAAGGCTGATATGGACAAGCTCTTAGGTGCACAAATCGGCCTTGAAGATTTCATATTTGCCCACGTAAAAGGACAACGAAAAGAAGTGGAAATTGTTAAAACTGATGATGTGCTTGGGCTTACCATTACAGACAATGGGACTGGCTGTGCCTTTATAAAGGTAAATTTAATTACCAGTGAAATACTTTGTTCTATAGAAGCTTCTGTTACTATAACAGGTTAAGTGATCCTTTAGAATGATAAAATCTTTTATTATCATATGTACAGTAAGTAAAAAATAAAGTTGCTTTTCTTTAGGTACATCATTCAAAATTAGTTCAGCTATTTCTATACTGCATGTCATTCAAATTCGTTCATTTGTTCATTGCTTCTGTAATGCGTATCAGCTTTACAATGTGACCATTGTGTTTTCCGACCTACCCTGAGGCGGTAGGTGTTAGATACTGCTTGCATCTGCCCCCTCCTTTTTTTTTAAGTGACTTTCTGATGTCATTGATTAGGTGCTTACAGAACTCTGTCACTCATGTGCTAATGAGATCATGTTCTTTCAGTCTTTATGACTGTTCAGAGGGCAGAAGCCTTTGTGCTGTATAAGAATAGGTGCAAGCATGGTGCTTTTTCAGCATCCAGTGTTGTTCCTTGAGTAGGGTGAGTTAAAAGGTGCTAAGGATATTGGTTAACACCATGTACCACGATTAACTGGAGTAGCAGCTATGGGCAGTAACACGTACAATATATTAATCATAATTGCTTTTCTCCTCGTCTTCCTTATGACCTCCAGGTAGTATGTTTTGAGACAAGTAGAGACTGAGGAAATGATGCTACCCCTCTTGCTAGAGCAGGTATTAGGAACCTTAATCACATTTTCTGCCTTCTTTATTGCTTTGCTCTAATCCACTCTAACTGCCCATTATTAGCGAGGCATTGGCAATTAGCTTTGATTACTTGTGTCCCAGTTGCTGCTCTCGTTGCTCTGTAAACAGAGCTTCTTGTGTGGAGAGGTTGTATTCTCCATTCATTCCTCAGCGACCACGGATATAAAACAAGACGTGCTGTAGAAATAGGTTTGTTTGTCTTTGTTGTGCAAGAATGTGACCGAGATCACGCTCGAGAAGGTCGAGATGCAGCGGAGGTTTCAGTAAGCATTTTGGCAAAACTATAGCCTCCTTTTGTGTTTCTAGGCGCAGAACGCTGAGTTGCCGGTGGCAGCCTCCTCCTGGCAGCCCGTGACACTCGGTTGTGCCGCCGCTGCGGTGGCACGTTAAAGGCGGCGCTGGAAGCAGGGCTTCGTGCGGCGGTTAGAGCTCCGTGCGCGGCGCTGGGCGGCGGTTCTCTCTGTGCTGGGGGGTAACGCGGCGGCGAGCGAGCGAGCAGCCCTCACGTAGATGGCTGCGTAATTGGAGCAGCCTGCAGAGCCCTCACCGCATGAGCCAGACAAGCTGTAATTTCCAGTAACTTGTGTCAAACTCGCCTGAACAGATATATCATTGTCCTGCTGGTCTAATAACGAGCGGTGTAATGAAAATGGTGCAGATTTCTTCGTGGGAAACGCGTCAGTCTAGGGGCGTTTCTAGGAGCTTGCTTTGTGGCTGTTGCATATTTAGCTAATGGCTTTTTTAAAACAGCGTGGCAAATACATATGCAAAAGTGAAAGCTGCAGCTTTTCCACGCGTGGTTGTCTGGGTAAATGACTAAGCAGAGACCGCTGTACTTTAAAGTTTGATAGAATTCTTTTTGTTTATATGTTTACTTTCCTTGAAAAACTGTTACTGTGATCCATTTTTAATTAACAGTATTAAATTCACCTATCTGTGGGTTGTTGAAAGCTGTTATGGACTGCAGTAATTTTGCTGTTTTGAATGACAGGGCAGTTTCTGGGTTTGATATGTAAGTTCAGATTCTCAACCTGACACTCTGAGCTGAAGGTTCTTTTCTTATGAAATCGAACGCCGTTTTGCCTCACTGAGAACAAAACTTGGTGTCGTTCTACTTTCACAAATGTGTTTTCTGGGTATGTGGCCAGATGGGAGGATGAGTTATGGAATCAAATTAGCCATTCAAAGAATAACAGTAGCACTTGAAGCATGACTGACTGGTGTATAAGGAGGCAGTATAACGTGGGGGGGTGCCATCAATTTTGGGCATTGCATAGGAAATACAGATCCTCGCTTGGAAGTACAGGCATTTCAATTGCATCTTAATGACTGTGGCCGTGGAGCTTGACTGCCTCTGGTCAGTTAACTGGAGTGTTGATAAAAGCTAAGTTGTATGAAAAAAGGTGTTTGATAGGACAGAAGTAACATAGCCAGTGAAAATTACCTGATCAGTTTTGGTGTTAGGATCCAAGTGAAGAAGAAAAGCTAAATGCAGATGAATTCAACATGTAGGCTGAGCATGAACTGCAGTCCGGTGGGCACGCTTTTGAATGCTGGCACCTGGTAACAGAAATGGATTTGGGACCCGGACGATAGCCCCCTCTTCCTTCACCAGGAGGCTTCTTTTGGGTTTTAATCTGGGTTAAAGAAAAAAGTGCAGGAAAGAGTTAAACTCAGCCCGAAGCTAAAAGTAGTTGCAGTATATGCTGGGACACTGAGCACTATCACACTTCCCACCGACTCGCTCAGATGGAGGCACACGTGTGGGCTCAGACATGCGCGCACGAAGCAGAAGCAGGTTTCTGAGACGGCTGTGCAGCTGGGCTGGGTGTTACAGCAGTAGGTGGCCGTATGTTTGTCTCCCTTGCCTCACTGTTACCTCACTCTGAACAGCCTCAGCCTTTATTGAAAAGTATGTTATTCAGGAAGGTATGAGAATGAATTTCCTCTCTCTTCAAAACAGAAGATATTCTACTATGCCGTAGCTTTTCTGCTACACGGCCGTAGGACAATGGCTCACGTGACTTGGGCGCATGAGAAATGAACATGGCAGCATAGAGCGACAATGAGCAGAGTCACTGGAGGTTTAAGTGTCCTTTAATTGACTTGACACATCATAGAGATCTTGTAAAGGGTTTTTTTTCCTCGCTTTTTAAATTCCAGTTCACAAAAGATATCAATACTAACTTCTGTTGTGTTTTATGACCTTTAGACCATTTGTATTGGTATTCCATGAGATGGTGTTTAGAAGAATTTCTTTATTGTTATTTCAGAGGAAATAGTTTAATATGTGGCTGTATAGCTTGATGAGGAAAATGGTAGTAGTTTTATCACTATAGATGGGTCTTATTAACACTAGCCCTTTGTACTATGTCATTTTTTAGAATATCACACTTTTTTTTTTATGGTTCTGGACCATGCTTGAGAGAAGTTCTGTTCCTGTGCTTGCCAAGCTGTTAAATCAAAATAAAATCTCAAAACTCAATTAAACATTTACATTACTGACATGTTTGGATTCCGTTTTAAAGCATGAAAATATTAGCTTATTCAGCAACCTTAACTTCTGGAGTATGATTGCATTCTTTTTTTCCCTGTTGATTTCATATTCAGTGCTTATTAAATTGCTTTGTTTGAAAAATGATGCTTTCCAAAATATGTTTTATGAAAATCTTACAGACAAAACACACTGCTGGTATAATAAACTCAATGGTTACTGATGTTGTCAGCTGATGTCCTTGAAACTCTGTGGTGTCACCTCTTTACCTTGGAAAGAAATGTTTCTAATTTTATTTTATTTTATTTTTAAACAATAGCGAATCAAAGAAGGAAGCCTTATGGACCAAACCAAAATTGTCTGTTTGGGTGATCACATAGAGACTATAAATGGAAAAAATGTGTCACGTTGCCGGCATTATGAAGTTGCCAAAATGCTAAAAGACCTGGAGAGAGGTCGGATGTTCAAGCTGGAGCTGATAGAGCCTGTGAAAGCTTTTGGTGAGTGACTTGCTGCATCACGAAATCCCGGCGTTGCGTTGCACTGTAAGTTAGTTGCGTTCAGGTTGCAGCCCCGTGTCCCCCCAGCGTAACGTAACTGCTACAGGGAAGTACGTTGGTTCTTTTCCTTGGAAGTGGGAGACTTATGAATGGGTTTTCTCCCATCTTGCTTTCCCCAGCAGCCGTCCTGGCGCGGGCTGCCGCAGCCTGACTCTCGGTTGCTCCGTCCCTTTGCCGCTGCGCGCTAAGTGCGGGAATGGTTTCACAGGAGCAGTTCCAGAGCACGGGTCGCTTCCCTGGTGCGCTGGTCCTCGAACCTCCGCTTTTCCTCGGCGGGTACCTGAGGCCTGCCGGTCTGTGCGTCACCTTTCGCTGTTGCCGAGCCCTTCTCTGGGGAGCGCGCGCTCTGGTGCGCAGGGTGCTGCAGAAGCGCTGCCTGGGGCTCCCGGGGCAGCTCCTTCGCGGCATGCCTGCCTGCTCTCCCTCTCCCCGCTCGGGTGTGTGTCACTGGTCCTGCCCCAGGTGTGCAGGGAACTGGGGGGAAGCAGCACGGCGGAGCTCCCTCTCTGCCGGCCTGCGTGAGAAGGTGATGCTTATGTAGGAGGAGCGCCTGCCTCCTGCCCGCCCTGGTGTGTATTGCTCTTATCAGTGTCGTAAACGAACAAACAAAACAGTAGGTTCAGCTCAGGGAGTCCAAATAGAGCCTGAGTTTTCATTTTTATTCTCTCAATTTTTTCATATCCCCCCATCTATGTAGCATTCTTCTGTGATAAAAACTTCAAAATGCTGCTAAGTTTTAAGTGTATATGAGTCCCTGTGCCCACCTGCGCTGACAGCAAGTCCAAAATCACCGTCTTCACCACAGCAGCAATTTGGGATGTTTATTTTTCAAATCTTTTTTAGTCGTTTACAGCTGCTGTCATACACCAGTCCTGGCACTTGGTGTCAGGATAGCAGCAGAAATGGAAAATGAGAGAAATGTGAAGATTTCTTTTTGCTGTTGGTTCTTCTGTGAAGAATGAGGGCTATGAGTTAACCTCTGGTGCGTTTGGGCGTGAGCTGATACTCCTGTTCAGTGAGCGTGTATGTTCTATGTTGTGCTGAAGTACTATCGCACGTGTGTGTGTATCGCAGTCCATGGTACAGGAGTACCTTTCTAACATGGGTCTGTCTGTTTTCAACGCTAAATGCGTGCTATAGTCTGATTGGAAAGACCAGGGTAAATCAGCATTTGATTGATGGCTTCAGCCATTATTTAATAGCGATTACTTTAGTCAGGTGTTTAAGATACCTTTTAGCCTGCCTGTGACGTGGAGAAGGAAACTTGCTCATTCCATGGCAGTACCTTTTATCTGACATTGAATTACGAGGCAATCGGCTTTTTGGACTGATGTTTGGAAGATGCACGTTCATTTTTTACCCTACAGAAATTACTGTGCAAGTTGCAGTGCCCAGTAAGTTAGAATATCCCACCTCTAGCCTTGTGCAGTTAGGCTTTAGGCACAGGTTTGTTCAAGATAAATGTTTAAGCTGCTGCATGCTGAGAACAGCCCCAGAGGAGATGACAAACAAGATCCAGATCCTGCTGGACAAGTCGATGTTGAATTCCTGTTGGTTTCAACACAAGTTTGTGAGGGTACAGAAAAACAGAGACAAGCCTCTGTTTGAGGTGACTGACTTCTGTTTTTCTTCCCCTCAGCAGAATGTGAAATAATACGATTTACTGGGTGGATATCCTTCTGCCATGTGCACACAGGCGGCCTCAGCTACTCTAGGCAAGGCTTGCAGCACGGAATTAAAGACTTGTCTGAGTAAGACTGGTCCTTCCCCGTCACAAACTGGCACTCAGTGAACTGGCAGAAAATTGGTAGAAACAAAGTAAAGGCAGCAGAACACAAACGCTTGATTCAAGTTACGTGACTATGACAAATAGTTTCTGCGCTGGCCGGAGAGCTTTGGTCTGAAGTATTGCAAATAAAGGTAATGTCAGACCATGAGCTTTAAGGTGCTAATGGTGACAGAACTAGAAAGAGATGTGTGTTGTGTCAGGAATGAGTTTTTGAGTCAAGCCTAGCAGAAATGGTGACCATCTTAAGGATGTCTTAAACTGTCCTTGAAGCAGTAACAGGATTAAGAGAAAGTGTTGATCCTGAGTATATAAAGGTGAGAGACTGTGCCATATCTGTTTCTTAAATCAAACAATTAAAATGTACTTTTCAAGACTTGTTCAGCAGAATAATCTGGATTTTTGGCTGCTTATGCAAGAATGATGAGTTGCAATTTACCTGGGCAAAATTAGTGCAGCGTGTTAAATTCTTGCCTTCAAGGAGATCTTATTAGAAAGGCCTGCTGTTAAAAGGAGGAATAATCTGGTAGAGAAAACAGCACAGTTATAAAAAGTTCTGCAGAATTATCTCCTCTCTTCTAGCACTTTCCAGATTAACTATGTAACTCCCATGTCAGTAAGTAACTTAAAGCCTTGCCACTGTCGAATGTAAAATTACATCCTAGAAGAAGAAAGCCAAGTCTTAAATAACTCCGTACTCCATTTACTGACTGGGGTGCCCGTACCCGAGATTAAACAAGGAAAGCTGAATTCAGGTAACGAAAACTGTGGGTGAGCCCAGATGTTCTTGGTAGGGATTTATCAGGTGTGGAAGCGTGACCTCGGTGAAACCAGCAGAAAAACTCGTGCAGACCTGCCTATGGACTGTTCTCCCCTGTGGCTGCTGGTGGTCCAGTTGCTGGCTGGACCAGAGCTCGGCGTGCCCTGTTCGGCAGCAGTGCCTGCACCGCTGCGTCGGTGAAAGGTGGAGACGCTGCGGTGCTGAACCTGCCACATGGTCTGCCTGTGGAGACCGGGATAAGTCAGCGTTTGGCTGATGGCTTCAGCCGTTGTCTGATATTAAGTAATAAATACTTCTACTTTCCTATAGAATAGGGAAATTATACAAAGTGCCTATATGAAGTTGGGTGCAATAGTCCTGCATAGATATACCGGTCAATGGAAGTCCCAGCTTCAGCCCAGTGAAGCAAGTACCAGAGTTTGAAGGCAAGAAATTGTCAGCAAAGCTATACTTGGACTACAGTTAATTTATAATTAAGTTATGTACGTCTAGATCTTGATTAGAGTAAAAGGTACAGGTGTGTAATAGGAAGGAATGTAACAGCTAAAGCAGATACACCGTATTCTGACATACCATGTACTTAGTTTTGTTTGGTGTTCTTTTCTTTTTGTTGGTGTTGGTTGTTTTGTCTCTAGAAAAGCTGGAACCGAGGTCCAAAGGTGGAAGTCTGCCAGAGGCTAAAATTTCTAGAGGGAGAGAAACACTTCGGCTGAGAACCAAAGGCCCTGCTACTGTGGAGGAAATGGTATGGTTGTCTTAGGGCCCTTCAGTACTTTAGTCATCCAGCACCTGATTTGTTCCTCCTTGAGGCTGATAAGGTCACGTAGGGAGGAAAAGTCTGGATGTTAGAAAACTTGGGGACTTAAGGGGATGACTGCCTTCTGCCGGGAGGAATGCTTATATACAGTGGCAGGCTGGCAGGGAGAGGATGGGGCTGGGGGATCTGGAAACAGAGAGCCTGGGTTTAGATGTCATGGATCACATGGATGAGTTGAAGGTAGGTTAGACCAAGGAGCGCTGAAAAGAGGGAAGGGGGGGAAAAGGAGCGGGGGGACAGGTGAAGGGTTGGTTCTATTTCTGACACTGCGAAGTGCACTGGGCCGGGGTGAGAACAGGCCGATAACGTACGCTGACGTGAATATGCGTGAAACCGGGATTAGGGTTTGGAGGAAGCAATGTTGTTTATTCTGGGTTCCTCTAAAGCTGATGAGGATGAAGACCTGTGGTGTCAGGAGATGCAAGGCCCCTGTTTAGTGTGAATGTGAGAGCTGTGTGGCTTGATGTCGGGAGGAAGGCTCAGGTTTGTGAGAAGAGGGAAAGGGAGTGGAATAACGTGTAGGTTTTGTTAGTCTGGGTGGCTAGGATGGGAGCAAGGATAATCAGTGGCAAATTGCCGGCTATTTTGAAATCCGCGTGGATATAATCATACTTTTTTTTCTTTTTCTCCCTTTATTTCAACAAAGCAGACTGAAGTTGAAGAAAAAGCAATTAAAAAAGTGGATGAGCTTCTTGAAACGTACATGGGGATCAGAGATCTTGAATTAGGTGAGTTTTGACAGATACATTGCTACAAGATTAAATAATCTCTCATTTTCTGTAGTCTAAAATTTACTGAGTGTTTTAGTCTCTGGATGTAAGTGAAGCAACATTTGTCCAGCATGCAGTCTCAAAAAACGCCTGTTATCTCTGCAAGTGTGTGTGTCTGATAAAAGAATGAATCTCTCACTACAAACCTTATGATGTAATTAATAAATCTTCTAGTCTTCTTGCACATTATCTGTACGCTATTGTGTGAGTCATTTAGTTGTTTGCCATTAACTGTCATCTCTGTATTCCTTCTGGCATCTATTTTCTAGTGGAGCTCGTGTGTGCCACATTCAAGGGTTGGTAAGGATATGCGTGTCTGTTTGCTTTTTCGCTCTTTTGCCCCTTGGCTTAGACACATCAAAGTTGCTCACTGAAGTCTGAGTCTGAGATCTTCATCACTGAAAGGGCAGCTATGTAGCAAGGGAACTGACAGACTAATTGCACAGATTTACCACGTTCTCTAAAGCCTGTGTTGAGAAGAACATGGGAAATCTTCCAGGATAGTTACCAGCTATCACAATCATCAGTTTGCAGTGCAAGAAACTGTTCAGTGTCATAAGTTCCTTGAAACGGCACCAAACTTGTCCTTGCAGCTGTTGCTTCTCTCTGTCAATCTGACAACAACTAAATAGGAAGTTCTGCTGGTGTGGGAAGAAGCTGCAGTCTAGGTGGGTACGAAGTGCTGCTGTAGCCCCCTGTGGCTGGTGCGGTCCTCATGATCTTGTGGAACGGCCGATACTGAGACAAAGAGGAACGTGTTTATTGTTATGGTAATACTAAAAAAATGAGCTAAGAATTGGGAAAGGATAAACTGAATAGGGAGCGGTCTTGAAAAGAAAGCTTTTATGAGAGAGAAGTGGAGAAGGCAAAGCAGAAGAGAAAATAGGTCTGACATGAAGCGAAGGGCGAAGCAGGAGGGTTGGACAGGCAGCAGTTCGCATAGAGGAATGAGAACAATAGGAGGTTGTCTGAATAGCCAAAAGTCCTTTGTTGGCTGCTCCTGCCGGCAGGCATTGGATTGGCAGCTTCTACTAGTTTTCTCACAGGAAAAATTGTGGGTAAGGTATTATTTGTTCCTGACCTAAGGCAGAGGTGGGCTCCCTGGCACGGAAAAGAGAGCAGAGCTGCCCCAAACTTGTGAATTCTGTTTTGTAAGCCATATGTAAACTTTCCAATTCCCAGAAAACGAAGAATTCTCAAAAATCCTGTTCCCAGCAGCTCTGGTGTGTGATGCCCCTGCCATGTAATACGCTCCTGGGAGCCCTGCGTGGTGCTGACCCTCGGTTTAGGTTAGGGAGGGTCCCATGTCCTGGCGCTCTCCTGCAGCCTCTGCTGCTTGGTCCATCTCCGTCTCGGGCTTCAAAGCTCGGAGTCTCGTGCCAGAGTCCCTCTGGGAGCCGTTTTTGTCCTGCAGCTGTTGCAGTCCCCACTCAGGCCGGGCTGCTGGAGGCTGCTGTCCTTGCAGGTCACCCCCAAGGTCCCCTGCCTCCTGGCCCCACAGGAATAAGCGGCTGTGGGTGTTCTGGTTTTGGTGGCCATAGCCCAGAACCCTGAGATCCCAGGCTAGAGTGTGGTTTTATTGGGATGTTGAGGTGTGCTCTGCTCCACTCCAGGACAGGGAAGCAAGTTCCCATGGGAACTGGTGTTCCCTGTGGTGTTGGCTCTCAGTACCACAACAGGATGGCTCTTGCACAGCACCGAGGAGTTGCCAAGCACCTGGCAGCGTTTTCCCATGAATTCCTTCATTATTTTTTTTTTCCCCAAAAGATCTACTGTCTTTCATCTTTCAATATGTAGTTTGGAAAGTTTCAAAGAATACCTTAAGAGAATACTCAAAGAAGGAAGAGGTCTTTCCCAACTGGGTGGTTGTGTTCCCCTTCGCCTCTTCCTTCTCTTCCTCCCCGGAAGGCGGGGAAACAAGGAGGAACTGTCGGGAATCAGAGACTACAGCATTCACATGGCTTTAGTTTGCAGCCCTGAAGCCATTTACTAAAGTTCAGATCTTAGAGCAGAGAGCCAATGGTGATGATAAAAAAAAAAGTTTTATAATTTTTAAACAATTAAGCAGCCCTCGGACTCTTCAGGAGAGGAGAGCTAATCACCTGTCACAAACCTGTTCAATTAACTCGTGTCAGTTTTTCATGTACTGGATGTGATCAGTCACCCATGAAAATGAAATATGAGGAAAAGATTCATTCAGAGAGTGCCAATCACCACTCGGCTAGAAATTTCAGTCATTACTCAAGCCAGATTAGTTGAAAATGCAAGTCATCACAATGCGACAGCTGACAGGTGATTAAGATCTCAATCATTGCTCGCTCCCATGCAGTTCTGTTTGTCAGAAGCTTTGGATGTCAGTTAATGTTGCTCTTTCATCTCCATTAAAATGACACTCCCATGGTGTGATTGAATTCTAAACCACTGTCCCAGTTTTAAACCAGAAGTTAGAAAGAAAGAAAGAAAGGAAAAAAAAAAAAGTAAAATTACAGACAGAATTACAGATGCGATAAACCCTTAATTTTTGCGTCGTTGGGTAACTTGACAGTTTCAAGAATGACTGAGTGAATCTACACACAAATCCCTAAGTTGGAGCAAAATGCTTGGAAATCATTTAATAGCAATGCGTACACTCCCTTCTTCGGGGGGGCACGGTTTCTTATTTTCAGATCTCAGTGCCGCTGAGATTTACAGACCTGCCTTTTGAATGCACTTCTGCCTTTTAACCTCTGTGCTGTATTTTATTGAAAACTGGGCTTAATCTGCAGAAGGGACACTTGGCTCTGGAAATATATTCCTCAGCCGTTTTTATGGGCACATTAGAAACGGGGCCAAGGCTTTTCTTCAGCCTTTTTTGAAACCTAAATGTGCCACTAGGAGAGGATTCAGGGTATTTTAAACCCTGTCGGTGCTTTCAGGTGAAGGAACGGGAACAGTTGATTAACAGGAGGGAATTCTGGAGCAGTGTTTGTAGAAAATGCGGGAGGCGTTTGGTTTTTTGAATCAGTGAGGCTTGAATTGTTGTGGACTGTATTTGATCCCAAAGATTCTGGGTGGGAGGAAGCCTGGAGCTGTGGGATCCAACCCCAGAACGGAATGATGGAAAAGTGATGGCAAAAAGGGCTTCCTGTCCAGCTGTTTTCTGTCGGCTCCTTTTGGCTAGCTCTTCGTCCACTGATATTTTGTTCTATTTTTGTGCTTTTGGATGATTATTCCCTTTTTATTGTTCCCTATAATATTGTCAGACGTTACGTATCTTTTCATATTCTCAATCTCTGTTTCCAGACTTCTCCACTCTTGACTTTCTTTTTGAAATCTCCCAGCTAGTCAAAACATCCTAACAGGCTTAAACTTTTTGTCACCCAAGCTTCTTTTCTTGGCTCACTAATCTGGCCCAGCAGTATTGGATAGGTGTTTGTATCTGGAAATGCTTTGACTAACGTGATTTTTTTCTGTGAGTCTCCTGGTTTCTGCTCCTTCTGTCACCAGACTTCCTTCCCCAAAGGGTTTTATCGTATACGCTCTGGGGTGTATTGCGTGTGACTCTTCATTTACTCCCAGAGAATAATGGGAGTTTTGTGAAAAGGGGAAAGGTAGCAAGTCTGGTTAAACAAGAATGCTTCTCCACTTCAAGAAGAATTAGTATCTAATAGAAAGAAACAAGAAGAAAGGGTACTTCTAATGGTTCCTTGAGTGCCAGATCTGCCACTGCTGGACATGAAACTACAACTACGTAATGTTAAACACTGGAAACTGCTAAAGTGTCAGGCCACAATAATGGTGATGCTTGTTACCTTTTGATGAGGGCAAAGCTTCTGATAGCATTACAGCTAAATAAATACTGATGTTTCTGTTGAGAGTCACAAAAAAGTTTTTTTGGAAGTCGCAGGATAGGATGTAGGCAGCAGGACTGCTACCGGAGGTGGATAACAACAATGGCAGGCAGAACGTAGCTTTCGTGGCTTGAGCTGCATGTGTCTGTCAGAAGTGAAAATAAGGATTTTGTGAAAGATCTTTGAAGTTATTTTAAAGGTTTAAAAAGCCCAGATGCTCCTGTGTTCATGTTCTGGGAAGCCTGATGCTGAGCTTCTCAGTTAAAGCTGAGAAGATTCTAATTCCTTTCATCACGTTTAAGTTTGCTGAACTTTTCCCATTCTATGTAGAAATTTCTCAGGCATGAGCATTGCCTGAAGTGACATTGGAAGGGAAAAAAAAAAAAAAAAAATCTGAAAAAAATTGGGGCTATCTGGAGTGTGGAGAAATTTCTGTTGGAATAAAATTCCTGTGATCGAGTATTGTGCAGCTGTTTCCAGAGGCGGTGGGGGAAAGGGAGGGGAGCGGAGGCAGCTTGGCACGGAGCTGTCGCCCTCGGAACCGCTGAAATTTCCTTCGGGTTGGCAGGCGTCTGCTCAGCGCCTTGGCCCTCGGGGGTTTGCGGTTTGCCCTGGGACCCCTGCGTTGCCCAGCCGCGGGGCGAGCGTGCCGGTTCCGCGCGGCCGTGCCGGGGCTGCCGTCCCGCC